CCACAATGACTTTGAAACAATAAAATTAAACCATAAAGTAAATAACATTGATCAAATCTCAAATGTTGTTAAAATAAAACTCACAAAAGATTATGAAAAATTATGGAAAGAAAGCTTAAATTCTCCTCACAGTAAAAATGGTAAAGATGGCAATAAAATGAGAACATATAAATTGTTTAAATCGTTTTTGAAAATAGAAACTTACCTGACCGAAATAACAAACTTCAGCCTTCGGAGAATTGTGAGTAAATTTAGGCTTAGTGATCATAATTTAGAAGTTGAAAGAGGCAGACAACGACCAAAAATTCCTGCGGATGAGCGATTTTGTAAAAATTGTCATACAAATTCAGTTGAGGACGAACAACATTTTATCCTAGATTGTGAATTTCTCAATAAAGAAAGAGGGGAGCTGTTTCAAGAAATAGGAATTAAAAATAAACTAAATAAAACAGACAATTTCATTAAAATAATGACGTGCTTCATACCCCTGGCAAAGTTTCTAAATAAGGCAAAACAGAAATCAGGTATATGATAGCTATCACCTCTACATTGGGAGAATCCTGTAACTATCGTTAATTTGTTTTTCCTATTAAGCTTTTAACATCTTTTATTTTTAATTTTATCTTATAGTCTAGCTACTGTATTTTTTCTTATGATTTGTATTTTATTTACCATACTGCGCCCTCTGATGGCATAGTAGTGTAATAAAGTTATTATTATTATCAAAAGATGTCTCTGTATCGAGTGTCTCCTGATCGACACTTACATTTCTCTCCCGAGTTGAAGAACATGTTTATTTAGAAATTATTGCCAGTAGTAAGAAAGGTATAGTTGTCACATGTTTTTCTTAGTATATAGTTAATTTGATAATAGGTACTACCAGTATACTATTTTCCCCACTTCACATAAAGCAAGAAGCGTTTTGAGCCTCACTGCAGTGAATGATCTAATGACATCTAGCTCCATAACTACCCTTATTACCCTTATGAAGCTATTAAAAGAAAAAAAGGTTGGTAGAAAAAAACTCACTGAACCTAGTTTTGGATTTAGAGGACGCGTACTACAATTAACTCTCTGTAAACAAAAATACTAAAAACTTGAAAAGAAAAGCTTACACACATGGAAAGGATTCAAATGCTCAAAATTAAAAAAAAATTAAATGTGGTTTGTTTAGTTTTCAAAATCAAATAATATAAATCATCTTCATCACAGCCGTTAAAAACTCCCAAAATGAGACAGATTCAACAATGTACAAGTGTTATTGGAAAAAAATTAACCAAGCTGAATGCTCACTCAAATTTTTTCAGTCAGCTTGGAACTGCTTTTTGCTAAAATTCTACAATTCTAAGGCTTGGCTATTGTGGTATAATATCACATAACAAGGCATGCTACGTGTATCCATTGCAAAAAATACCCTGATAGAAATTCTAATTGTGGTGTGAAACCTCTAATCCTATCTCCCCCTCCCACCGAATAGAACATTCCTGTACAAATATATGGTCATTGTTGCAGCATACATGAAATATTAATTTTCAGCGTTTTGGTCACATGACTTAATATGATAGAAATAGTACACCACTTTTCTCTCAGTAGTAGATTTTTTTTTTTATGTTTTCAATAAAAAATTAATTTTGTCTAAGTTGGTAATACGATTAAATTGCGGAAAAACGCTGACGTTAACTCGAAAATTAAAATAACCTGGAAAAAAAACATATAATTTATTTTGTGTCTCGATCGACCAACTTTTTTTTTTTTCAGTAGACATGATAGATCATGAGTAAAATTTTGTCAACACTGAAGTGCTATTGTTGCTCTCAGACATCCACAAATATATCAAGATAAATCATAAATAAATGTCAATATAATTATACTTTCTTTCGTATATCCCACCATGAAAACTATCATCTATCGTTACTCACCGGTTGAAAATTGTGCCAGAGAATGATCACTATGATGCTGTTTCTTGTTATGTATGTTAAGTACCATTTAATTTTTGCTTTTAGAAAAAAAAAGAGAAGAAAGAGAAGAAGGTAAAAGAAGTGATATCATATGAATTTGATACTCCACAAGGTGACAAAAAAAGTAGGTCAAAAAATAAAAAATTTCAGAGAATTGATTCTTGTATAGTGTTGGTGCCAATGTTGCTACTCTGTATAGAGCTAGCGAGATTATAAAAACATTAGTAGTATACAGAGATACAAACTACTTAAAATGAAATCCTGGTTGGCTTAATTTGTTTTATTTTTTAATATTTTTTAATTATAATTTAGTTATTATTTAAATTGTAAAAATTTTTAAGTGATAATCAAAATAATAACAATTTTTTAGCCCACCAAGATCTAATTTCAATAAAATTGATAGTGACCATCTCTTTTCCCCCTTCCACACACTCACCCACACACATGCACACTGCAATCACATGCTGCATGTCAAACACAAATCTTACTAATCTCGTTTGTAATATTATTCATTGGAATCATGTTTTTATTTTAGATATATCCTGTGTAATGCCTGATTCCTATAGTCCCAAGTATGTAGAGGCTGCATGGTACTCATGGTGGGAGAAAATGCAGTTCTTTAAGCCAGAATATGGTGTAAGTCTTGTGCATGTATACGTGAATGTAATACAAAAATTCCCACTAATGGTGGTGGTCACAGAGGGCGGTATTCGTCACATAGTAAACATTCAAATTCCATGCAAACAATGTACATTACATTAAGATGAATGGAATCGAAGTAACACAAAGTGACTATCGCTGCTCTTTAAACATGCTTGTCTGAAATATGTCAGTTTGATGGTGCAATCGAAAACCCTTTACACCGAATAGATCACTTTCATGAGCACGTAAGTCTCACATACGGCTACTTTTGTTTGTACAATAGTTGACAGAAACACAATCATGCACCATTGGGCATTCTGTCTCGAAAAAAAACAAAACATTTTACACAAGTAGCTGAAAGAAAGTCTAGAAAGTTGTGTTGAAATATCAATAAAATAAAATGAATCCATTTTTGATATGTATACTAACGAAAATACTTGGATGTGTGACCTTCAGAGGTCATGATAGTGACATATTATTTACATAAGTCGAATTTTCAATACTGTTTAACCTTTTGAGTGGCAAAATTATTTCGTCACCTTTCACAAAATAAACCTACTAAATTGTTTCCATATCAAGCTGTGTGGTTAATTTGGTCAATTTGGTCTGAAATTAACAAAGAAATTACAGAGAAATGAATAGAAGTGTGAAACATGCACAAGACTTTGGCAGGAAAAACTATGGCGCTCAGAGGTCATAGACAATTAACACCGCACTGATCTCTGTCACATCATTGCATGTTAGTATGTGTGTATTGGAAATCCAATAAGATGTAAATATTACAATTAATGGAATCCTATTACTGTAAAATACTTTATTCTCGCTAGGAATTAATTTTCGCTATGTTCGCTGGAGGAATGATTCAGTTAAAAATAAAATCTAGCGAATATACCTTTTTTCCTATTTTTTTTTACATTTTACGTCAGAAATCAGTGAAAATAAATTCCATACAAAACACCCAAAAACTCTTTTCAGCAAAAATTACTTTCAGCTGAAATAAAGTATTTTGGAATGTCATTTATATTGAATATTCAACTCTAATTCAATATTTCATAGTTTGTTTGTTTGTATGTATTTCTGTATTGTAACAGCATGGTCCATTGAAGGAGGAAATTGCCCGGGGGAAAAATGTGTTTATGATCTGCATCCCACCACCAAATGTTACTGGTTCATTACATCTTGGACATGCACTGACATCATCTGTGCAAGATGCACTAGTGAGATGGTGAGTTTAAGTTTGGTTTCTATCATAGTTTGTTATACAATGTACCACCACCAAATGCTGGTCTGTTTACCGTCTAACAGAACTGATTTTGTAGAAATCCCAGTCAAAATAAAATATCAGTTGAGTCAGCTTGTTTTTGTTTTTTGTTTTTTTAAAATGTTTTTGTGCCAGGTGACAGTTCTGGACATTGAGTGTCACTGTTGTCTCTCCTGACTTTTTTTTTGTAAGTGCAAATTGCAAGTGCTAGTGCTGACACATTGTGTATTTTGCCACAGAAGTCATTTCCTGTTTGGGACTACATGACCGGGCTGTGTGGCCATCTCTCTATCAAATGGCAATTTTAATGCGCTATTCTGGCATCAACCAGGCTCGGCCAAACACAAGCACCTGCAGACCTTAACCAAGGTTCCCTCAAAGTCGCATTCGTTAGTGAATGAATCTGGGCCAGTGGAATTGGCCTTCCCATTGAGTCTGTGGCACACTCACCCAGGATAGGGGTCGACCCTTTGATGTTCAGCCCAAGGTAGGATTGAACTTGGGTCTACCGATCATTAGTCTGATACGACAACCACTAGGCTACCAGTGACCGGTTGCGTCAGCTTGTTAACTGCTTGGAAGGTTGGTCTTCAAGAAAAAAAAAAAATTGTTTGTGATTGTATTCGTGACTTGAGGCACATAGGCTTGTTCAAAACACCTGACTATAAAGTACACACAATTTTTATGTCAAGTTATTACCCTGTGAGTATGGCTTCATGTACTTCAAGTACATGGATTTGCCGCAGATGATTGTCACCGTTGACATTCAGATTGTTTTTCAATAGACTTCCAAATTATGTACGTGACATAATTTGTTGTATTTATTCTGTGTTTACCTTGTTTGGAAATCAAATTTAAGTATTTATTAGGTAAACACCCATGGGTTTTTGTGTGTGCATAGCTTGTAAACAGTTACATACATGAAACTTTTATAAACCTCCTAGATAGACAGAAGAAACTGACACATCATGTTTAAAAATGAATTTTGCCAATTGTTTGAGAAATGAGGTTCTCAGTCAGGCCGACCTCGCTATTAAAATAACACGATTTAGTACCCTACGCACTCAGTCGGACAAATATGATAGTTGAATACATCTCTTAAACGAATAAACAACCATGCTTCAATTCACATTATCTTACCATAGATCCTATATGGCACCGTGTTTGCATAAATAATTATTTGCCACACACAAGTCTTTCTATGTTTCATTTTATTTTCCAAATATTGATAGCATAGCGTAGCGTACTGTATGTGTTACCACTATACAGTAACAATGGGCTGCAACTTATGTGATATACGGCAGCCCGGCGTAACTAAACTCTCATTTCGTTGGATTACATTGACTTTAGTGTAGATGTATTAACTGTAATATTTATATTCATTAGATCTGTTGTTATTCATTACTGATAGATTGTTTTTCAGCAATATTTCATGTACATGTATTGCTTGAACCAATACACTCAACCTAATCTCAGTGACATAATGGTCGGACAGGGGCTATGTCATCACTGACTTGTTATCTTGTTATACAGGCATAGGATGAAGGGTGAGATAACACTTTGGAATCCTGGATGTGATCACGCAGGTATAGCTACGCAAGTTGTTGTTGAGAAGAAACTGTTCAGGGAAAAACAATTAACAAGGCATGACTTGGGACGAGACAAATTTGTTGATGAAGTCTGGAAGTGGAAAAATGAGTAAGTTGAATTGTTACACACTTTCTTAGTGTGACATAGACTCCCAGGACTACCCTAGTTTTAAGTTTGCACGTCTTCAGCTCAGACGAAAACAGCCATCAGATTGTATGACATAGTTTCGAAAAGAAGCTCGGCCGACATGATTTTGATCGCTGATTTCTTTGATGTGTACTAGAATGCTATTAACTTTTCGGCATATTCAAACGTTGAAGAAAGCCAGATTTTTTACTTCAAGAAAATTTAATTATCGATGTATATATTATAGGAAAGGCGACAGAATCTATGACCAGCTAAAGGCAATGGGTTCATCATATGACTGGGACCGTACATGCTTTACCATGGATGATAAATTATCTCGAGCCGTCAAGGAGTCATTTGTTCGTCTTCACGAGGAAGGTGTTATTTATCGTAGTAATAGACTGGTAAACTGGTCCTGCCGACTAAACTCTGCTATCTCAGATATTGAGGCAAGTTTCTGATTTTTTATGCATGTATTTATACATCTTAAGCCAGTTAAGTTACTTGTACTGCTCTGATTTTACAAGAGAAAAATTTGTGCAAACTTCCTGAGAAATCAAACTGCACTAGTTGTTGTTGACATGAACTCATTTCAAGATGGCTGATTTGTTTTAGTTTAAGTTTACTATTAACATGACTGGGATTGTGTCTTATTATGACTTGTTTCATATATAATATGAAAGATCATTTTTATCTCGTTTCTAGGTGAATAAACACGAACTAACAGGACGTACCTTGTTACCTGTACCAGGATACGATGACAAAATAGAATTTGGTGTCCTAGTCTCATTTGCATATAAAGTGCATGACTCAGGTAAATCCTTATTACCGGTATTTCTCGTTTAAAATTTTTCTAATTCATGGTATTTTCTATGACAATTTTGAACATAAATTGGACATGAATTACCATACTGGACCGCGTTAGCGCCCAGTGTCCTCAGCTCAGAAAATCATGATTTCTTTTAAGGGTGGGGGCTTACCCGAGCACCTCCCTCGGAAAAGAGTGCAAATGACAATTTTAATTCACCATGTGACAGATTGAGGGGGATATTACGTCTACGAGGAAAAATAAAATTACAAAATTAGTTACGTCGTCATTGACTTTTGCAATGAAGAAACAGAAATGGTCACAAAAAATATGTACATTTTATTACTATTATTAATTACGTACCACTCGAAATTATGAGATTAAAAATAAGTCTGTTGAAACACAGTCAAAGTCAAAATCTTCATCATCTCCACCGAGGAATGTGTTGGATCGTACGCAAACTCTCGGTGAAAAGCAATTTCCGTCATGATGTATTCTTGGATGATTTGACCTGCAACAACATCCTTTGACCTAATGGGTCAAGTCTGTTATTTCAATCAGAATGTTGTGTTGTACCGAAAGAATTCTTCGGAAATTCCAGAAGACTTTCTAGTTGTTAACACAATGCGGAAGTGAATTATCGATGTTGAAGTACGATCCTTTGGAAGTGATTTCGGCGAATAAACGGCATGGTTTTTTAAAAAAACTAGCAATTTTTGATAGCTAAACTAAATATGGCATGAAATATTTATCGCATTCTACTTATATTAACAGGTCATTGTCGAAGCATATTGTTATTTGTTAAGCAATGATCAAAGACCAAGTTTTAAATTAGTGACATTTTTAAGGGGTGGGCGCTTTGCCGATTGTGACTCCGAATATAAAAATTGCGCAAAAGTAGGGGTTTGGGCGCTTGACCGGGCAGGCATTGGCGCTAACATAGTCCAGTATGGTACTATGCAAATATTTTGTAGTGTGTAACAATTTTGTGAAAAATAACAATGTGTATTTGAAACTTACTGCTTTAAACTTGTCTATTTATATTATGCTAATTACAAAATTAACATGCATGACTTTTTTTGTAATTAATTATTGATTAATAATTTATTACAGATGAAGAAATTGTTGTCGCGACAACACGTGTTGAGACGATGTTAGGTGATACAGCTGTAGCCGTCCATCCAAACGATGAAAGATACAAACATTTACACGGAAAAAGTGTAGTTCATCCCTTCCGTAATGAAACCATGCCGATTATCTGTGATGACTATGTGGATATGGAATTTGGTACAGGTGAGTATGGGTGAGACAATTTAATATCACTGTATTGGGATAATGGTGTGTTCCATGCGTCTGGAAACACATGGACCGATTTTGTTTAAAGTTAGTACAAAGACAAGACATACATGTAATATATCCATATGCATATCATTTTGCTTTTTGTTTCATTGACTTTTGAATGATTAGGGGTCATTTTAAAAAAAAAAACAACGAAACACACCAATTTACTATGCTGTGTTTTTCAGGCATTCCTGAACCGATTATTATTATTCAATTCTGGCCAACTTCATTTGGATGGTCAATATGTGAATATGTAATGAGATTTATTAGTTTTGGAGGAGAAGGTCAAGTTGGATGGGGTGGGTTGTGCGAGTTGGCTAATGCATGTACCTACATCTAGTTGTTCTATTTCACCAGACGTGGATGACTACTGTCTAGATGAAATTGCTCACATCCCTTGTTGTCCACAAACATGTATATTATAGAATTTATTATTAGATACAGGGAATCGAGTAAGGCTGTGTTTGCTGCCCTCAGTGTTGATCAATGATATTGCTGTCATATCTAGGTGCTGTAAAGATAACTCCAGCTCACGATCACAATGATTACGATATTGGTAAACGTCATGATTTGGTATTCTTGACCATGATTGATGACAACGGGAATATTACTGATGTTGGCGGACAGTTTGCTGTAAGTATAAATTTGTTTTTTAACTGTTGTATAAGCATGCCATAACAGGATATTTGCATAATACCATATTAGGAAAGATAAACTTCAAATTAGGAATGATGATGCCAGATTTCCAAGATGTCAGGCATGTGCCTGGGCCAAGTGATTGGCCCCAGAACATGTATAATGTTAAGGTTTTTATGATACAGTAATGTGTTTACATTAACATGATCGTTCAGGCATTCACTTTTATGCATTGTGATATGCTAGTAATCCCTTAACATTATATAATAGACCTTTTCCAAGTTCCCTCAAACATTCCATTCTGCTGCCGTGAGAGGGCACTGCATATGCCCCATTCACACGATTCAAACTGTTCGGACAGTGGGGTCAAAAATCAATATAGTGGCTACGCTGATGTATGTGAGATAATTCAAAATCTTGTTTATTTGACACATTTTACAAAACTGTTTAAAATGAAGGTTTACAATGCCTGTCTGGACTTGCTATCACATCGTAACATCATAAGTTACAGCGTGTCGTAATTTTGCTGGGTATTTTCATCCTACCATATAAGGAAATGCGAATTCAAAATATGGAATGATTACGCACGTAAGAGTGCTCTAAAATAATAAAAACAAACATGGCTGCCACCAGGGTTTGACTGGACTCCACACAAAGAAGTTCGCTGATTCTAGTCTAAACATTTTTGATTTTGGCATTCCCATGAAGTATTCTTGGAAGAACATTGGTCGATACTCTCGCTGTACTGTCTTCCTGCATACTTTGAGGTATCCTCGTAATAACCTCATAATATCGCAAAATATTGTGCCAATATGACTTGTCATTTCTCATCTACAGAAGTAGTCTTGTGTTAACAATCATTGATATTCCATTGAGAGTTAAAATGACAAATGTTGTCACTCTTAAATGTTGGATTTTACGAGGAGGGATAGAGTCACTGAGTTTGATTATATGATAGATTGTGCATAGAAATGTAACAAAGTAACAGCCTTTACATTGAAAGAAAATTGACTACTGTAAAATACTTTATTTAAGCTGGAATTAATTTTTGCTGAAAAAGACGTTTTTGGTGCTTTGTATAGAATTTATTTTCACTGATTTTTGACAAGTTGAATGTAAAATATAGAAAAAAAGGTATATTCTCTGGATTTTATATTCACTGAATCATTCCGTCAGCGAAAATAAATTCCAAGCAAAAGTAAAGTATTATACAATATGTACAATAATAAAACAGTTGTGTCACTACATGTATAAAACAGTGAGAGAAATATGAATGTATTTACAAGCACTGTATTGTGTTGACGAGACTTTCAAAAGTGCAGTGGTCGTCACTCAAATTTTGTGTTAACAAACAATGTATTTTACTCGTGTCGCGCATGTCGATACAAGTCCCATATTGAACAGGACGCAGCGCGACGACCACCATCTATTCAGTTTGTAAAATGTGAGACATAGCCTCAACCTGATTTTACATGAATTTGCTACTGCCAGTTCAAAACAATTCAACTTCATGAAAATGTAGATGGTTTTGGATATATTTTGGTAACATTATCAAAGAACAATAGGAAAAAAATAGAAAAAAAGTAAAAAATTGCCAGTCCAAAATCAAAGTTGCCAGTCCATTTGGTGGGCAGACTGGTGGCTGACTAACACCCTGCAGGTGAATATATTACAACAATAACCAAAAAATGTCTGTCTATAAATATGTTAAGAATATTTCTTCATACCCATTGCATACAAAGAACTTGAAAACAAATACTTCATTTTGACATTCCTGAAGTCCTGCATTGTTAGAGGTCATAACTTATCATGTTGACATAGAGGTCATAACTTATCATGTTGACATAGAGGTCATAACTTATCATGTTGACATAGAGGTCATAACTTATCATGTTGGCATAGAGGTCATAACTTATCATGTTGACATAGAGGTCATAACTTATCATGTTGACATAGAGGTCATAACTTATGTTGACATAGAGGTCATAACTTATCATGTTGACATAGAGGTCATAACTTATGTTGACATAGAGGTCATGACTTATCATGTTGACATAGTGGTCATCACTTATCATGTTGACATAGAGGTCATAACTTATCATGTTGACATAAAGGTCATAACTTATGTTGACATAGAGGTCATAACTTATGTTGACATAGAGGTCATAACTTATGTTGACATAGAGGTCATCACTTATCATGTTGACATAGAGGTCATCACTTATCATGTTGACATAGAGGTCATCACTTATCATTAGTCATTTTACAGTAGTATATCATGCAAGTTTCTGATATGTATTGAATAACATTGACCGTGTTTACAAAGATTTTTACTGAAAACAGAACTGATATAATTGTAGAGAGTTGTTCAGCAGGTAAAACAGATGAAAATGCAGACACCGTGAGGTGACAGTGACAGTCACACTGTGTTCAACCTTAATTCGATTTCAAAAATACATAGTGCAAAATTAACAGTTATAATTGCACCTTACTGTATTCTTGTTTTTGATTTTTGATTGGTTGTTCAAATCAAGCGACTTCATACTTTAATGACGTACATCTCTGTAATAATATGTCTTTATATATATTTTTATTTTCAGGGTATGAAGAGGTTTAGTGCACGCAAGTCTGTATTGGAAGCGTTGAAAGAGAAAGGACTATACAGAGATACAAAAGACAACCCAATGGTAGTTCCTATATGCAGGTACGAATTATATGATTCCAAAATTGTAGATATTTATAAAGCTTTACAAATTCTTAATATTTGCTGAATAAAACTTCCAAAATTAATAAGCAAATAAAAATAAGGACACCCAAACTTTTGTTTTGTAATTTTCCTACAGCATTAAACTCTAGTCTGGCAGCCATTTTGAATTAAATATTCAAAAAAAAAGAGAGGTTCAGTTCAGTTTCATCATGTTTTTTTTTTTATGTTTATTATTATCAAGTAGTTATTCACAGGAATATTTTGGCAGCATTTTAAGAAATTTCTTTGTCCTGTGTTAGCGACATCTTTAAGAAGGGATAAATAAAGGAGAACTGCGACTAATTTGTATTTATTTGTTTCATTCTGTATTTGTATTTTGCAGTCGTTCTAAAGACATTGTAGAGCCGTTAATTAAACCACAGTGGTATGTTGACTGTAATGATATGGCCAAGAAAGCCGTAGAAGCTGTTGAAAATGGAGATTTAAAAATTATTCCAGATATTCACATCAAGACTTGGAATTCATGGCTGAAAAACATCAGGTGAGATAATATTGTAGATTAGAATTGCTGGAAACATGAAAACTTGTATGTGAGAGGACGCCCTGAATATATTCTCACATTGAGTAAATAAAAAAAGGTTTAGGATCATAAAAGGCTGTTTTATCCACTTTCATTATTAATGTCACTGAAAATGAAAAAAAAAAATTGATTTTTTTGGTAAATTTTTTTCAAAAGAAATTACATGTCTCACTGCCTCATTGCAGTACTGTGCGTGCTTACAATAGATTGTTTTGTTTTGTCACAGAGATTGGTGCATTTCGCGTCAGTTGTGGTGGGGTCATCGTATCCCAGCATACTTTGTGACTGTTGACGATCCTAATGTTCCAACTGGTGATGTAAGTAGTATTTTGTTTTGTGTCAACTTAAAAGTGCGTAATTATCAATTGCAGAAACTGTATACCTGCAAAACTGTATACATAGTGAAAGTATAAAAGCCTTGTCTTGTATTGTTAGGATATTGATGGTAATTACTGGGTCAGTGGCAGAGATGAGAATGAAGCCAGAAAGAAAGCGGCTGCCAAATTCAATGTCACTGAAGATAAAATTTCTCTAAGACAAGGTAGGTTATTTCCCAGGGAAATTTTCACAGATTCATGAATATAAATTAAAAGCAGTTTAAACGTATAGTTTTGATCAAAGATCTTTAAAATACGGGTTTGCAACTTTTATAACCATGGCGATGTGCAATGGAGATCTCACTCAAAGTGTTCTCTCACACTTTGCGAGTGTAAGGGAATGCACCAATCAAATGGATTTCTAACAAAGAGCATCACAAAATGCATTATACATACTTATGCATTACATGCTTTGCGAATAAGCAAGGACACTAACAAAAACAGTCTAAGATGAACACTGATCAATTCTTTCACAAACTCACTAATTTGCATGAAAACTTTTGAAAATGTTGGTTTGTCTTACAATTTTTTGTGATCATTTGTGAATATTTTCATCACAAATCAAACCACTTGCGTATCCTTATCGTATAAATTCTTGCTTAGATGTATTTTCTTCCATTAGAAATATTCACAAAATTTGTACAACGCAGCTTTCCTGAACTGAACACCAACAGTTTTTAACCTTTAAATGACAAATTCACAAAATAGTCCAGTCTTCAGAAGAATGGAACAAAAATAGAGTAAAAACTAAAAAATTACTCAAATTTTGTCTGTTGGCTCCGAAATTAGTATTCATTTCAAGAAAAATTAAGGAGATATAAGGAAAAAGTGCAGAAAAATTTGGTAGTGAAAAAGTTAAAAGGTTTATGTACATTGACTGACTTGTATATTATTCTTTCTGTAGATGAAGACGTTTTAGATACATGGTATTCGTCTGCTCTTTTTCCATTCTCTATATTTGGATGGCCAGATACGGTGAGCAGATTTATTCGTATACATGTAGCTACTTTTAATATTTGTAAACGATTTTTCATGCTCTATATTTGGAGGGCCGGATTTGGTGTATAGCCACTTAGAATATTGTCCCCCTCTTTCCATTCTCTATGTTTGGATTGCTGGATACGATTGACAGATTTATTTGTTAAGCCCCTTTGAATTTCCATTCTCTATATTGTATGGCCCGATACGATGAGCAGATCTTTTCATGTACCTACTTTGAATATTTGTTAATCTTTAATTTGTTTTCAATCTATAAAAATGCATTTACAGTATTTACTCTATTAGAAGCGCATCTCCAATAAAAGTGTATATAAACCTAATATAACATTGCCTGTATACTGACTCATTAATATATTACTTAGCGTAATTGTATCATAGAAAAAATCTATGTAAATGCATGCACTACTCATAGAGCAAATATGATACATGTCTTTTTAATTTCAAAACCTGAAAATCTTGGTATTGTGATTTGCAGACTGATGATCTTGAAGTGTTTTATCCCGGTACTCTATTGGAAACTGGTCATGATATCTTGTTTTTCTGGGTAGCCAGAATGGTAATGTTTGGTCAGAAACTATGCGGGAAACTTCCGTTCCGCGAGGTTTATTTACATGCGATGGTACGTGATGCACATGGCCGAAAGATGAGTAAATCTTTAGGTAATGTTATAGATCCACTTGACGTCATCCACGGTATTTCTCTTGAGGTTAGTATACCAGTAAATTTACTTTGTTTTTTGTTGATATACCAACATTACATTGAGTGGTTATGGAGTAAATTATAACATATCAATCACAGTACCTTATTTGCTTTATCAGAAGTACATCATCAATAGTGGTTTAAAACCTGTTGTTTTGGCAACATTGTTTCAGTACATCAAACTCACACGCAATTTACATGAACCTCTAAAAAAGCAAATATGATATTCCATCTTTGATTTGAACACATCACTGTGCTGCCAAAAACAATTGAACTTCCAGGAACCTTCCAAGGGTTTGTTCGGTATACTGTACTAGCTGTTTATACCAGATCATGTATTACTGAGAATTCCGTCAAAGTTATACAGTGTTGTGGGACCCATAAACCAAGATTTGAACAAGCCATTATTCCCCATTGGAAGTAGTCCGGAACAGAGACTTGTGTAGTGTTGCATAAGTGTGGATATCTAATAATATTTCCTGGACATGCCTTGGGATATTTGGTTTAAAGTTTACACAAAAGTAAGACAGAATGGTTTGCATCTTCTTGTCAGTATTTTTGCGGTTTTGATGCAACACAACGTAATTTCAACATGCGATAAACTGTTTCTCCAGCATAACACATAATAATCACTGATTCATGTCAGTTAGTTTTGTGATTTAATTAGAAATGGCCAACTGGCAGCCATGTTGGTTAAATTTGGCATGACAGAAGTGGTACAAAGTCAGGATTTGGTTTGAACAAGTTGAAATGGATATCATTCATGATAATGTAGATGATTTCTGCAATGAGGCGTCTAGATTCCATTTCTGCTATATTTCACTAGAGATTACACCTAAAAGGTAAAGGTGAATTTTTTATACTACAACTTTGTCTTTTCTTTTTATTTCAGGGTCTACATCAGTTATTGCATGATAGTAATTTAGATGTAAAAGAAATCCAGAAAGCCAAAGACGGTCAGAAAGCTGATTACCCAGAAGGTATACCTGAATGCGGTACAGATGCGTTAAGATTTGCACTATGTGCTTATACATCACAAGGTAGGTTTATCAGTTCCATATATGGTATGCATTGCGTATATAGCTTGCAAACTAATTTGCATTACAATGATATGGTGCTGAATTATTTTTCCTATATAAAATAATGTAAACAGCTTAATTTTGGCAATTTCATTCATGAAGACACAATTTTGGAAAAGTCATTGATAATTTGTTCAAAAATATCAATTGAAGTGTTCATAATATGTATCAAATTGTTCAAAAATATTAAACTTATTCAAAAATAACGATAGTTTCATGTAAAATTTAACGTGGAAGTAGAGAAAAACTGGTTGTGTTTGATTCTCAGTATCTAGACAATGAACGCATACAAGTTTTGTGCATTGCATCCAGGAAAAGTTGAACAGAGAAGGCTTATATATATTGAACAAAACCAGAAAACAAACTGAAATTTTGTCCAGCTTAAACACAGCACATAGATATAAAATTATGGCTGATTATTGACTCCCCTTTATATGCAAACTCATTCCTGCAAAACAATGGCGTTTTTGTGTCGTAGAACACCAAATCAACCCTGAAAGTTTACTAGTCATATGATCATTACCAAATTCTATATTCTGAGGCACTGACAACTGTATGTTATTGTCTTAACAGGTAGAGATATCAATTTGGATGTTCTACGTGTTCAAGGCTATCGCCATTTCTGTAATAAACTATGGAATGTTACAAAGTTTGCTTTGATGTCATTAGGGGAGGATTATAAACCATCATCACAAATACAGGTGAGGATATGTCAAAGCATTGGTTTGTGGTTTAAGGTTTTGTTTGAAAAATTATGCATTTTTTTTACGCACACTGACACACACAGAATAGAAACATATGTCCTTGTGTATTCTCAAGAGTATGTATTCAGTGCTTAATATCTTGAATAGAACAATAGCCTCAGACTCTCTATTATAACAACTTCTATCAGTGCTCTTCAGTCTATGTTCAAATCCTACCAGAATACTACTAACACTAAAAAAAACACTGGCCCCTATTCTTGGTGTCTTCCAGTCATTAATGGATATTTATATCGTATACATCCAGCCCTCCCTTAAATATTTGGGCGTTTCTAGTGCTTAGTGCTCATTACCTCCAAATTCGACTGTGCTGAGAAAAAAATTTGCATGTATTGAATATAACAAATTAAGGAGAATTTTTTTTTTAGCTGTGATTTTTTTTGCAAGCAATCCAATCATTTTTTTTAAGAAGGAAAGGTCTGTAATAAATATGAACACTGTATTGTGAGAATTATCTGGAGCAGCGTACTTAGACTATACCAGGATCTAAAATCTTGAATTTTGTTTCATTCATAGTTGACTGGAGATGAAAGCTTAGTTGATAAATGGATGTTGAGTCGATTATCATTTGCAGTATCAGCTTGTGAAACTGGATTCCCAGAGTATGACTTCCCACTCATCACATCGTCAATATACAACCTATGGTTATATGAGATGTGTGATGTTTACGTGGTATGTATTATTTCAATGGTCAAATATTTTCTACTAACTTACTGGGAATACTAGAATCGAATCAAAAACCACTAGAACAGAATAAAATAGTAGAATAGGAAAGAAAAGAACATATAAGACAGTTTAAATTAGAATATACTTAGAAATATTATAGAATAGAAATGAAATGTAGATTACCAGTAGAATAAAATTAAAATATAGAAAATAACATGGATATAGATTAGAATATAAAATGGAATATAGATTAGAATATATTAAAAATGGAATATAGATTAGAATATATAAAAAATGGAATATAGATTACAATATAAAACGATTAGAATATAAAATCGAATATACAGGTAGATTAGAATATAAAATCGAATATACAGGTAGATTAGAATATAAAATCGAATATACAGGTAGAATATAAATGGAATATAGATTAGAATATAAAATGGAATATAGATTAGAATATGGAATTGAATATAGGTTCGAATATAAAATGAAATAAAGATTACAATATAAAATGAAATATATATACAGGTAGAATATAAATGGAATATAGATTAGAATATAAAACGAAATAAAGATTACAATATAAAATGGAATATACAGGTAGAATATAAATGGAGTATAGATTAGAATATGAAATGAAATATAGATTACAATAGGGAATTGAATATAGATTTGAATATAGAATGGAATATAGATTAGAATATAAAATGGAATATAGATTAGAATATGAAATGGATTATAGATTAGAATATAATACGAAATAAAGATTACAATATAAAATGGAATATACAGGTAGAATATAAATGGAATATAGATTAGAATATGAAATGGAATATAGATTAAAATATAAAACGAAATAAAGATTAGAATATAAAATGGAATATACAGGTAGAATATAAATGGAGTATAGATCACAATATGGAATTGAATATAGATTTGAATATAGAATGGAATATAGATTTGAATATAGAATGGAATATAGATTAGAATATAAAATGGAATATAGATTAGAATATAAAATGGAATATAGATTTGAATATAGAATGGAATATAGATTAGAATATAAAATGGAATATAGATTAGAATATAAAATGAATATAGATTAGAATATGAAATGGAATATAGATTAGAATATAAAATGGAATATACAGGTAGAATATAAATGGAATATAGATTAGAATATAAAATGGAATATACAGGTAGAATATAGAATGGAATGTAGATTAGAATATGAAATGGAATATAGATTAGAATATAAAATGGAATATAGAATGGAATATAGATTAGAATATGAAATGGAATATAGATTAGAATATGAAATGGAATATAGATTAGAATATAAAATGGAATATAGATTAGAATATAAAATGGCATATAGAATGGAATATAAAACAAAATAAAGATTAGAATATAAAATAGAATATACAGGTAGAATATAAATGGAATATAGATTAGAATATGAAATGGAATATAGATTAGAATATAAAATGGAATATACAGGTAGAATATAAATGGAATATAGATTAGAATATAAAATGGAATATACAGGTAGAATATAGAATGGAATAGAGATTAGAATATGAAATGGAATATAGATTAGAATATAAAATTGAATATAGATTAGAATATAAATGGAATATACAGGTAGAATATAGAATGGAATATAGATTAGAATATGAAATGGAATATAGATTAGAATATAAAATGGAATATACAGGTAGAATATAAATGGAATATAGATTAGAATATAAAATGGAATATAGATTAGAATATGAAATGGAATATACAGGTAGAATATAAATGGAATATACAGGTATAATATAAATGGAATATAGATTAGAATATAAATGGAGTATAGATTAGAATATGAAATGAAATATAGATTAGAATATGGAATTGAATATAGAATGGAATATAGATTAGAATATAAAATGGAATATAGATTAGAATATAAAATGGAATATACAGGTAGAATATAAATGGAATATAAATTAGAATATACAGGTGGAATATAGAATGAAATATAGATTAGATTAGAATATGAAATGGAATATAGATTAGAATATAAAATGGAATATACAGGTAGAATATAGAATGGAATATAGATTAGAATATGAAATGGAATATAGATTAGAATATAAAATGGAATATACAGGTAGAATATAAATGGAGTATAGATTAGAATATGAAATGAAATATAGATTACAATATGGAATTGAATATAGATTTGAATATAAAATGGAATATACAGGTAGAATTTAAATGGAATATAAATTAGAATATACAGGTGGAATATAGAATGGAATATAGATTAGAATATAAAATAGAATATACAGGTAGAATATAAATGGAATATAAATTAGAATATACAGGTGGAATATAGATTAGAATATGAAATATAGATTAGAATATAAAATGGAATATACAGGTAGAATATAGAATTGAATATAGATTAGAATATGAAATGGAATATAGATTAGAATATAAAATGGAATATACAGGTAGAATATAAATGGAATATAGATTAGAATATGAAATGAAATATAGAATTTGTTAGAAGGGAAGAGTTGTCCACAATTAACTCTGACAAGCTTATAGAGATTAAATGTTTGTTACATTCTTATGTGAAGGTGCAGTCCAAACTTGGTAGTGTGTACCTTGTATATGTATACTGTATGACATGTGTGATTGTGAACAATTCTGTCTTTTATTTTCTAGGAATACATGAAACCTATTCTACAAGGGAGTAATGAATCAGCCAAAGTCAGCGTCAGGAACATACTGTATACATGTCTAGATACTGGTCTAAAACTTCTGAGTCCATTCATGCCATTTGTTACAGAGGAACTTTGGCAACGGTTACCAAGACGAAGTGGCGATGAGCCTCCAAGTATTTGTGTCAGTAATTACCCTGAAATCAAAAATGTGAGTACATTGTTAGATGCAACCATAATATGACACTGTCACTGCGTCATTTTCAACATGGTTTCATGTCATTGTATGTTGAAACATTGATGCTTTTAATCAAAATCCAAACTATAGCAGCTCACTGGCAGGCAACAAACCACCATTTGTCCATGTGTACCACAATATAATTGAACAGAAAAAGTACATGTACGATATCACTCATTTGTATATTGAGTTTTTATATGCAGTGTTAAGTGATATTTCCTGACCAATGATGGTTTATAGCTTTAATATTATTTCTATGGTTATAATATAATATAATATAATATAATATAATATAATATAATATAATATAATATAATATAATATAATATAATATAATATAATATAATATAATATAATATGTTTCTATGGTTAAAATAAGTAATATTTTATTCATCAAGTATACAACAAATTAAATTTTTAGTTTATATTTACCGGTATTGATAATAGCGCTATTACGGAAAGATAGTTTATCTTTTTACAGTATTTTCAATAATCTTGTTGCAATATAATATAGTATATCACCATAATCTGACGTCATTACATTGTTTTCAGTTTGGTTTCCGAAATGAGCAACTAGAGCAGGATTTTGAATTTGTACAGAATGTCATAAAACAGATACGTGTGATCAGAGCCGAATATCAACTCACAAAACAAAAACCTGAAGGTAAGAAAATAAAAAAAAAATAATCATAAGTAATTTCACCAACAAATGAAATATGTTTTACACCAGAAGATGTAATGAAGAACATGACAAACAAGATCACAACACTCTGAAACCAGTGAAAATATTTGTCATTTCCTGTTTGTGATAAGTTTAAAAATGGACTCTTAAGGCGCAGTCACACCATGATGTTCTGGCTAGCATTCTCTGGCGTTTGAGGAAACGTTGGTAGTCGCCCAAAGTCGCTGAAACAGCGCCAGAAGAGCGCCGTGAGAACGCTAGTGAACGTCGGTAATCGTTGCTGATCATTGGGAATCGGCTGAGAACGCTGATCCCAAAAAAAAATTTTTAACATGCACAAAAGTTCTCATTTTAGACCAGCGTTCTTCAATGTTTATTTTTAAATGCTGTTAAACGTTAAATAACATTCTTTGATCGTTTTGCTAACATTAGACGCGTTCAACAATCTTTAGTCAGTCATTGCTCTAGCGTTACTTAGTTGTTACCAATCGCTCGCTTTGCAGTGAACAACTCACTAGCGACCTGTCAACGACTATTACATATGGCTACATTATTATAAAGTTATTGCACAGATACTGGAAAGTATGCTTGAAAGCAGTAGAGCAAGATGGTGTAGCAGAGGTTTATATATTTTGAGATGTCCTTTTAATTAATCTTATTATTATTCATCTTCATTGCTTGGTGATGGATGCCCACAGTATTTATGGCAAACAAATTATTTTCTGCCATCTTGGAAACACCAAATAATCATTTCATATTCGCATTTCTTAATACCATCGCCTGTGGAAAGCTTTAAATTATTAAATTCATTTTGGGGCCAACAAAAATCTGGTGTTAGCAGGTGATTTGCTAGTGTGATAGAATGCAATACTCTGTGCAATCCCTTCTTTTCATCATAAATTCAAAAAATAATCGTGTTTATAGTCTGCACTTTTATTATGAAGATTCGGACTAAAATAGCCAATTTTTTTTGAGTAAAAACTGAAAATTGACTCAAATTTTGTCTGTCGGCCCCAAATTAGGGTTCTTCACCAGAAATATTGAAGAATATAAAAAAAAAAAGTACAGAAAAATTTAGGGGAGCAAGTCTGATGGTTAAATGGATGCAATAGCAATTCAAATTATTAACTCCTTGTTATTTCTGATTTACCTCATAGTGTATCTACGATGTAGTACAACATCTGTTTCTGAGATGTTACAGCCTTACAATTTTGTTATTCAAACACTGGGTAGTGTATCTACGATACATCATATACCAGCCGACGGTGGTGATATACCGTCAGGGTGTGCTATATCTACCGTATCTGATAAATGTGAAGTCCATCTACTACTTAAGGTAAGAGGTCATCTCAAATTATCACATATGTCAATCAGTGTTATCGCTAAAGATAATAAAATTCGTATGTGGCTTCTTTTTACTGCTACAAAAACAAAAAAACTTATTCATGTATGTTTTTAGAATAGAATAGAATAGATTTATTTCACCAGAAAAAAAGCCAATTGTACAGGAACTTTATCTGAATGAATATTAAATATAATATATTTTTTCTGGTGGGGACCAGAGAGGTACCGGTAGTTCTAGCAGAACTAATCTAGTCCCTGGCCCCAAAACCATACTCAAATGTTAAAATGTACGTTGTTGTGAATAGTGAATACACAAAACAAATTATATTGTTCAGTTAAAAATAAATAAATAAGTAAATAAAGAGACTACAAACTCTCATTAATAATAATAATGAAGAAAACAAAAATAGACAATAATAACAATAATGCATATACATATTGCAATAATGCAAGTATTTATACATTAGTTAAAAGATATTTTTTTAATGTCCTTTTGAGCGTGTTTCGTAAAGTTAATGTTTTTAACGAAGTTGTGAGCTCATTCCAATGTTTTACAAGAGTAAATGTCAGACTTTTCTTAGTTGAACTTAAATTAATTTGTGGTGTGACAAGTTTCTCAGAGGTTACTGATCGTGTATGGTATGGATGTGATATTAAAGAGGCATAATGATGATTTAAGGTGTTCAGAAATGGTTGTTAACTATATTATTAAGTTTTTTCTGGGAGAAGTCTGGACATTGTTTTTTATGATACAAGATTTTCATTGGTAATTAAATTTGACATTTGTAGATCCCTCAATTGCCAAATTATTGTTATTGCATTTCTGAATTTTAGCACTAACATTGAATGTTTTTACAGTCTGATATATATAGTCTGTTAATATATACTGTAAAATACTTTATTTCGCTTGGAATTAATTTTGGATTTTATTTTCACTGAATCATTCCTTCAGCGAAAATAAAATCCAGCAAATATACCTTTTTTCCTATATTTTACATACAACTTGTCAAAAATCAGTGAAAATAAATTCCATACTATATAATTCCAGCTATAATAAAGTATTTTACAGTATTTACATGTAACACGTGACAGGCCTTTATATTGAAATGTCCTCAGTTTCATTTTTTTTTAATCAAGAATCTTTGTCAATTAATTGTTTTCTCCAACAGGGTATGATAGATGTTAGTAAAGAAATTAACAAGTTGAAGCAGAAGCAAGAAAGACTTGCTGGACAGCAGAAGAAATTACAGAATGCAATGAGTATTGACGACTATGATAATAAAGTACCAGAAAATATTCGCCAAAATAATTCAGAAAAGGCAAGTGTGAGAAAACTGACTGTGTTTTTTGTCAGTTTTTCATATTTTTTTAATCATTAATCATCGGGAGGCGTTCAATGCGCGTCTTTCACGCAACTCGCAAGATCTCGTAGTTGAACAGAGAATCACCTGTTGGTGTATATTCATAATATCATGCAAAAAGGCTGGAAAATTTATTTTGAGTCGATTTTCCAGATGTAATGCGTGGTATGAACTTTCTGATATTTAACTCAATGTGTGTTCATTTTTGTTCAGTTTTGAAAGAAAAACATGAAAAATAAATGCCCCTTTAACATAGATCCAGAGAATCAGGAGATAATAGTGTCAGCAATAGTCAGATTATAGGTAGAAGCCTTGGCTGCTTGTCATAAAGCAGATACGTTTGATCAGAGCCTTTAACTACATCTGACCATCTGCAGCTGTTCTTTTATGGAATCTACACATTAGAACACACGTTAATAGAAAGTAACCTGTAACACAAGTTCTGATTGGTCCAGCAAGATGTTAATGTTACTTGCATAGATAGATTGTCAGATGTAGTTACAGGCAATGTCTCCAGTGACCAGAAACTACTAACATAAAACAACAACAAAGTGTGGCAGACCACTATTTATTTTTATTTATGCCATTCTTTAGGAGAAGCAACAAAGGAATCTTTTATTGCTAGAGTGTGTTGTAACTTTATTTGTTGTCTCTATCGAATCATAGTGCAGGTTTTATTACTAAGGTTCTTAATGGAATGGCTTTAATTTCAAATTACAAATCCATGAGGATTGAAGGCCTAGGCATAAATGCAGTCATCAGTCACTAAATACTAAATTTCTTTCTCTTACAGCTTTCACAGACTGAGAATGAAATACAGAAGATAACAGAAGCCATTTCAATGTTAAAAGCAGCAGAATAGAAGACATGCGGGAGGGGAAGGGGGTGTCATTTGACTAAAGGAAATTATATGTATACATTTTTTTAACATTATGCCACACAGGATTTTCATGCTTTGAACATATTAACCTTTTCACCACCAGATTTTGTGGCCTAAATTTTCATGCACTTTTTTCTTGTATTCTTCAATATTTCTGGAAATAAACCCTAATTTTAGAGCCAACAGACAAAAATTTAGTAAATTTTTGGTTTTTACTCAAAAAATTTGGCTATTTTTGTCCCAACCTTGAGAAGGAAAGTGCAGACTATAAACGGAACTATTTTGTGAATTTGTGATGAGAAGAGGAATTTGGTGACGAAAAGGTTAATTATTACAAATTGATAACTACAGCTGAACTACAGCTACAAGCAAATTGGCATCCGTATCTGAAATAACAAAATCTTAATTTAGCTGAAATGCCACCAAACTCATTGTGAGAATATAGCTAC